TGTGCACGCCACCTTTGCAAACGTCAATAAGAGTCAGCAAGAATGTAGGATCGGTAGCCCTCTTGACATCAGACAAACCTTTACCCCAAGCAGAAGATGATACCAACCACAGGAAGGCGAACACTGCAGTCAACCCCAGGTCCTTATTGAGCAGCAAAAAATACATGTCACTACAAAACCCACAAGGAGACCCAACTGAAATGTTTTCAGCAGAGAACAGAGCAGTGTCCAGCTGCTTGGAAACCACGCCCTGCCCAGTTTTTCATTTTCATGTCTCTGTTAAATCCTCAAACTTGAGAGTGGACATCTCGTTATCTCTGCTCTCCTGCATTACTAAAGTGAATAATTACAAATCATAAAATATGTCCTTACTTCAAATTTGCTTTAAATTGGTCGTTCTGTAATGTCATCTTGACCTGTGAGCTGTTTGGAGGATGACCTAGCTAAGCCAAAACAACAGAGAAATAGAGTGAATCCAGTCAAACCTACCAGGATCGGGCCCCGACTAGGTTCCCTGTACAAGTGGTTGTAACACAAATAGATGATTAGCGTGGCGGTGCTGTAGAGGAACGCAAACACACCAATACAGACATAAAACTGCGCAGAGGATGAGTGGTCTCCAGTCAGAAAGTAATTAGTGGATGTTTCATTACAGTTAGGGACAGAGTAGGGATGATCCATCAACCTGTGTACACACAAAGAACGCATTAGAAATTATGACAATCGTTAAAGAAAACACACTTTCCAGTAAACTGGAATCTGAGGTGTGGCACTGTTTGTTTTGGCACCTGAATGGGTAGTTAAAGTTTGCTGTTATTTCTTTATTTTCTGTTCCGTTGCATTTGACATTGATGCTGGATGAGCCACTGTAACCTCCGGTTGTAGCAAAGGCAAATATGGAGAAGACCTGCACCCACACACACACACACACACACACACACACACACACAAATATATAAGATAAAGGGATACAAATTAGGTGCTCAGGATAGAGTGCTGAACATAACTGTCACACAAATGTACCCACACTTCCTTCCAGATTTTATGCAATTAACTTTTTTTTGGTTTGGTTTTGTGTAAGACAGGAAGTCTTACACAAAACTATCAGGGTGACAGCTGTACAGAGTAGCAAAATCCGGTCTTAAAGTTATGCAATGCTGCCAGAATGTTTTATCCAGTAGCTGGAAGCGCAGAAATGAATATCAACCTGCACATATGAAATAAAATTTGGTTTTATGCGGCCACGCATGTTAATCGGACCCTATACTGTAAACCCTCTGGCGTGCAGAACACCGAACATCCTGCCTGCTACACGTTGGTTTTTGGTTTGAGCTGCATAAAGGCCTATTATAGGAAGGCATCTTGACTCGAGTGCAACTGCATGCCGTATTTATAACAGTGCTACAGCTCAAATGATGAATTGGATGGCTTATCTGGGCGTAGCAGTGGGTCACAAGACAAATAACACAATCAAGTTATGAAGTAGTTTTGCAGCCAAGGATCGGCTTCCTACGCAAAGCACACCCCGCCATACAGGCCATATGGTAAAAAGTAAAAGGAAAGAAAGCAAAAAAAGGAAAAGTGAGGAAAAAACTTACCCATTCTAGCAAACGGATGAATGCCAAAGGCTCTTTAAGAGGTCCAAAGTCAAGACTGAATCCCGAAGTCATCACTTTCTAATCGAAAATAAAGACACAGCGTGAGAAAGACGGAGTTGCACTGCCGAGGAGGGTCGGGCGTAAATAGGAGTGTTTGCTCAAAAATGTCCATTCATCAGATATACGTCATTAACTGCTAAACTCTTCCTGTAGCGCGTTTACCTGCGCAACGGATTCCATTGTTTCCCCAGACTCAAAATCAGAGTTTAGGAGCGGTTATGAATCGCCGATCCTGGTCTCTTTGCAGCTGTGTCGAAGATCCTTGGTCTTGTCAAAACTTTTCCAACAACTTTGCTGACTTGGAGCTGACAACACGTGATCACCGACGAAGGGGGGCGCTGCTTAACAGCAGGGCTCAAAGTGGAGGAAATGCCATCCGGTAGCTCCTGTTTGTTTTTCGCCACTAGGCGTTCATCTTTGTAGGTTACACTACACAAGAAAGAGTCTTTCAGAGCTTTTTACAAATGCAAAAAACATGTGAAATTAAATTTTACTAGTTGCCCTAAAGACACAGAAGTGTAAGTGCCAGAAGTAAACGTGGTATTTGCAGAACATTTGAGATCACACAAGTTATTCTTTATAGTTTTCATGTGGACTTACATGAGCTTTAAGTGGTGCTGTGCAGAGTTTATTGCATATAATGAAAAAAAAAAAACCCCCAACCAGGATGTGTTGACTTAAGGAGGAGCCTTTTAACACTTAAGTAAATTTGGCATTTTTTTTTATTAAGCCTGTTGAGAAACTCTTGCTTCGCTTACCAAAGTGATGACCATTTGACCTTTTGAAAAAGTAGCGATTTATTTATTTCGGTGTCTATAATCTACTTGTCACATTTTCAAATAATTCTTTAAATTTAACTATTTTGCTACAAAATCTTATTGGTTAAACTGGTGCATTAGTGATGGCATTGACACTGCTGTGACTCAGAGTCAGTATTGAGCCTGTATTTGTTTGTTTGCCCATGGAAGAAAAGTCAATAAAATCCAAGATTTTGATGTGTGCAAGATCAAGGGAACAGTTCACCCTGTCCGGGATAGGGTTACTGGGGCGCCCCCCACCCCAGGCCCGGGGAGGGTGCCCAAGGGTGAGCATCTGGTGGCCGGGCACAGCCTGAAAAGGGGACATGGGCCCATCCTCCTGCAGGCGACCAGCTGGAGGCACAGTGGGGGTCAGGTCAATGTGTGCCGTGCAGTGGCCAGGAGCGGAGGCCCTTGCGGACCAATCCCCGGCT